CTTCCCATCTAAGCTCTTTGTTACCTGGTCATAGAAAGAGACCAGGTTAGTCAGGCAGGATCGGCCTTGCACGAACCCATGCTGGTTACCCCTCAACATCACTTCCCCTGCAGGGCTCTCACAAATGTGGCCCTTGATAATTTTTTTAAAGATCTTCCCCAGGATAGAAGTGAGGCTGACTGGCCTGTAGTTACTAGGCTCTTCCTTTCTCCCCTTCTTGAAAATAGGGACCACATTGGCCCTTTTCCAGTCCTCAGGGACTTGACCTGAGCACAAGGAGTCCTCGAACAGCCGTGCCAATGGTTCTGCAATGATATTCAGCTTAAGACACCTCAAGATATACCATAACCTCTAGGTCCTTCTCTGCACTACTGCAGCTTAGATGGTCATTCCCTGTTCTGTATTTGTGTATGCAGTTATTCTGTTCTAATTGCAGGATTTTGCATTTTGTCCATGTTGAATCTCATCTGACTGAATGCAGATCTTTTCTCTAGCCCATCTAGGTATTTCTGGATACTAGCCCAACCTTTCTGAGTGTCTACAACTCCATACAGCTTGGAGACATCTGCAAATTTGCCAAACATGCACTCAATCCCATCGTCCAAATTATTAATGAAGATTTTGAACAATACCAGATCCAGAACAGACCCTAGGGAATCTTGGCTTATCTGAACCAAATATTACATTACAGATGAGAACATACAACAGTGATACAAGGTAAATTCAAGAGGCACTTTTACATGTGCTCCAGGGATGGCAGGGGGGCTTTAATTAGAGCGACTCTGAGAGCCATTCTAATTAAAGCATCCACAGCATCTTGTGAATCAGTGACCCCACACTTCGAAATGATGGCAGGGGTGCTTTAACTAAAGCACGTTGAATGAGCTTTAGTTAAAATTCACCCATGACCATTTTGAAGAGTGGGGACACTGATGCACAAGACTCGCTGAAACGAGTCTATTCTGATGCGTTGTAATTACAGTGCATTGGAGCAGCCTCCCCACACATGTACAGGAACCCAAAAAGCCTCCAACTTCAGCTGTGCCACAACCAAGTTGTAACGTTAGAGTGGGCTATCAAATCTAAACCCCTAAGGTTACAGACAACCACTTATCTCAAGAGTCCTGAAAAATCATTCACCCTATCCCAAGACACCATAATCACAAAGTATCTTATGAAAACACAACTGAGAAAATCACTCGCACATTACAACATGCTACAGATAAGAGTTACCCTGGGATTCCCTAAAATTCGGGTCATCAATATACAGGCCCAATGCCCTTGTATAAATTAAAGCAATCTCAATCATGCTGTATCTTATGTTAGCTGCTAATGGTTCTGGTCTTGGCTCCTTCTCTCTAGCAATGCCCTGGGCCACAGAGAGGGATAATTGTCTTGGAAACATTCTATTGCCTTTGTACCACCAAAGAATCCCACTGTGCTTTGATGATTCCCTCCCATAGCTGGCTGAACTGCATTTATGGATTCCTGAAGAAAAGAACAACACCAATTAATCCCAGTGTAGTTGTGGTTATGGCCATAAAGTTTTCAGATATTCATGCAAATCCTGTAAGGCATTTTTTTCTGGTGTAAGTCATCTTTCTCTTAGCTGGCTGAAAACATTAATTCTCTGGCCGGGAACAGCAGATCTTTCCTGCTCATTGAAGTTTTTGTGTTGTAATAGCTACAGAAAGCTTTTAATGCATTTATACTATACTGATTTTTAAGCATTTATTATCCCTCTTTGTGGCTGCATTTATATAATCTGACAGGTGATGTGTTGGAGGAATGAAAAATATAAACCACATAGAAATGATTAGGGAGTGGAGAAATCTTTTGAGTGCAATTTTTGTGAGGTGGGGTGGGGTGGGTTGGATTGTGCCTTTAAATTAAAGAGAAAGAATTATTTCTCTGATTAAAAAAGCTTCTTACCGAATTCTGGAAAACATCCTTCACTGAAAGAAACATCATCAACAGCAATGGTTTCAGCTTGTCCCTGGGTCTCAAATATCCCTTGAATGATAACCTGGACAAGGTTTAAGAGTAAGTTAGGTAAAATGACAACTATGTTGTTTTGATATTCCAGAGGCTTCATCCCTGACAGATCTATTGATAGATATTAAACAGAACAATCATCCATTAATTTGTCTAGTCCCTTTCTGAACCCAGCTATACTCTCTGTGTCTACAATCTCCTATGATAGTGAGTTCCACAAGTTAATCGTATGCCACATTTAAAAAAGTACTTTCTCTTGTTTCTTTTAAATGTGTCCAGTTAAATTCAGTGGGTGCCCCCCTGGTTCTAGTATTCTGGGATTTTGTAATTAATAGTTCCCTCTTCATTTAATCCACACTTTCCACAATTTTATAGACCTCTATCATATCCAGCTCCCCCCTTCCCCCCACCCCAAGCCTCCTCCTTTCCAAACCAAGGAGTCCTAAACTTTTTTAGTCTTTCCTTGTATGGCAGGTGCTCTAAACCCATGATCATTTTGGTTGCTCTTCTCTTTGTACCTTTTCTAATTCTACTACATCTTTTGGATATACAGAGAGAAGAACTGTACATGGCATTCAACATTTGGGTGCACCATGGATTTGTAAATTGGCACGATCATATTTTCCATTTTGTTTTCAATTCTCTTCCTAATGATGCCAAACATTTTATTACCTCTTTTGGTCACTGCTGAATATTGAGCTGATGTTTTCAGAGACCTGTCTACAATCACTCCAGGGTCTTTTTCCTGAGTTTTAACGGCTAATTCAGACCCCAACAATGTGTACATTTAGTTGAGGTTATTTTTCCTCAGGTGCATTACTGTGTACTTGTCAACACTGAGGTTCATCTGCCATTTGTTTGCCCACTTACTCAGCTTGAGATCTTTATGCAGCTCCTCACTGTCAGCTTGGGATTTGACTACCTAGAATAATTTAGTAGCACCTGCAAACATGGAGATTTCACAGGGCTCCTCTCTTTCCAAGTCACTGATGAAATTCGTGAACAATACTGTGCAATTTCTGTTAGAGACAAAGGAGCTCAAATCATGCAAAAATGTTTCGTGGAGGATTAACACCCTGGCTTCTGCTATTTTCTGTAGCTTTTTTCAGTATAGCCATATACCCTAATCACATGTAAATCAAGAACTAAATTGGCTCCAACCTAAAAGCCCCACATGAAACATAATAATCTACATTATTTTCAACACAACAAGTTTTGGATCATAGTAGCTGAGGCAAGGCAGATAAGTTGTTTTTGAATTATCAAAGCCCATTCTTCAACCAGGGTCCGAAAATAACAAAATGAAGTCTTTTTCAGTTTTTGGAGTTTACCTCACACAGAGATGGAGCATTAGCATAGTAGCTAATACTATTCTAGCCTGAAAACATTTACTAACAATATGTAAAAAGAGTGTCAGGCTGCAGCATGGGAAGCAAATCTCATCAGCTGTTCTTCTCTACTGCATCAGAAATAGTTTTCTCCTATCAAATTATTCTGTACTCTTGGATCTGTGTTAAAGTAGGGACAGATAATGAACAAACCTATATGGCAACACAGAAGCAGCAGGAGGAATACCAGTGAAGACTTCAATCTTTTACATAGTCATCCCCCGTCCCCTGTCCCCCCTACCCCAATCCAGGCACCAAAGTGCAGAAAGCAGGGGCTGCATGTCTACAAAGAGGTCAGCAGGGAGGAAGTGACTGGAAAACAAAGGTAGGGAATGGGTAGAGCCTTGGCTTCTTCCCTATCCTGCAATACAGTGGGTGGGAGGTGGTGAGAAGGGAGAGGGAGGAAAGGAAATAAGTAGGACCATTCTCCCTTATGAATAACATACTGAAGAAAAGCACAACTAGCAATTGTGGAGCAGCTGCTTCTTTGGAAATAAGAATATTGTCAAGAAACAATGCCATCTTGTGAGCTTGTACTACCAGCAGCTGAAAAATTGCAATAGAGCGAAACAAGAAAAGCCAAAAAGTCCAAAATAAATGCATTTTAGTTAAATTCTGAAGTTTGGCAGGTGCACACTGATTTTGACAGTTGATTTTAATTCAGTTGAAATGGTTAATTTGTTGTAGCACTGTACCATTCATTTTGATTTTAGTATTAAATATACATGATATTTGTTAGGGCTGTGCAAAGCTTTGGGTGCTGATTCAGTTCAGAGGAAATATGGCCCAATTCAGTGGCTGAATCTCCAAATCTGAATCAAATCAGGGAACCAATAAAAAGGTCCAAATCAATTTGAAGCTCTCAGAATCGATTTGGAAAACATTTGGAGGGCTTTGATGATTCGGACAGTCCCTGTCCAATGCAGCAGGGATCTGGAGCTGGACTTGGAGCTGGTAAAAAGGGGGTGGGGGAGGGAGGTGCTGGAGGAGGGAGCAGAGGACCATGGGAGGACCCCTGTCAGGCCCCATCCCCTGCCTGCTCCCCCAGCCCCCACTCGCCCCAGCTCCCGGTGCTTAAAAAAAAAAAAAGCCTCTACTCACTGGGTGCTGCCTAGCAGGGGGGGGATCCCTGCTGCCCCCCCCCACTGCCCCACACCAAGTGGAGGGCCCTGATCCCCCTCCACTCTCCCAGCCCCTGCAGCTGCCCTACCCACTTCAGCTCCAGCACTTTAAGAAAAATAATTGAAAAAACCCCGGTCTCACCAGCTCCTGCAGTGGCCTTGGGGCTTCAGAGAGCTTGTAGAAGAGCCCCCACATGGCAGGGGTCACAGTGGGGGGCAGCAGGGATTTCCCCCCCCCGGTGAGTAGGGGCTTTTTTGTAAAGCACTGGGAGCTGGGGGAAGTGGGGCAGCCATAGGGTGGGGCTGAGGGAGTGGGCAGGGGTGGGGCAGCTGAGGGAGCAGACAGGGGCTGGGGGCTGGTAGGGGTCTCCCCATGGCCCCCTCCCCGCTCGGGGATCATCCCACACCAGGCAGGAACTGGGACAGTGGGGAGTGTCGGGGGACTCATGCAGAGCCCCCCATGCAGCATGGGGCAGTGGGGGGCAGCAGGGATTTCCCCCCACCTGGCAGCACCCGGTGAGTAGGGGTTTTTTCTTTTTTCGAAGTGCTGGGAGCTGGGGTGGGTTGGGCAGCCATTACTGGACTGGGAGAGCCGGCAGGGGATGGAGCCTGTGTGATTCGGAGATTCAGCAGGAGCCCAATCTCCAAATCGGATTTGGCCAAATCGATTCAGGACAGTGATTCGAATCACCAAGTTGAATCACTGTCCCCCCAAATTGGCTGAATGTGAAGTGAATACGAGCTACTTTGCACAGGGCTAATGTTTGTTAGGTTTACAATAATTTTAATATAGTTTTAAATTTCACATTTTTTGTTCTGATTTAATATGAAAACAGGTTTTGAAACCTTCAAAGTTGTACAGAATGAAAATTCCATTTTTCCTCCAGTTCTAGTTTTCAGATATAAAGTATAAAGTGGAGTGATTTATGAGTCAACAATAGAGCAAAGATACCTTGTTTTGGTTTTGCTAAAATCAGAGATGGTTTCAGATCCGCATTCTACAGAAATGATGTATGCAATACAAATATCCTACTAAATTCTATCTCCCTTAAAATAAATGCAATAAGATTTTGCGCTCACATACACTTACTATCTATACAAGCATTAAATATACAGTGTGAAGGTACCTAGCTTTCTATAGCAATTGGCATTTATGGCATTCACTCAAAGGTCATCTGTCTTCAGGCAAATCCACTACTACACGTTCACTGCTTTCCTTGGTAAAGGAAAGAACTGCTTAAACCTCTTTAACAGCCCAGCTATGCTGAATTTGCAACTGTTTTCCATTGCTGAAGTTTTACAAAACAGCTGAAGCATACTAGTTAATCCAGCTCTTATTTTTCAGAAATGCAACAGAGGCCTTCCTTCAGGATATACCCATATTTCAGTGTATTGCAATATAGCAAATACTGGAGATTATCATAGGAGAAAAGCATGAGAGATTAAATGTAGGAAAAACAGAATAAAATAAATTAAATTAAATAAAAAACAAAAAGAAGCTTTTCTTGAAAAGGGATGGAGAGTAGAACTTGTTGAGAATCCAGCTGTCTAAAGATGTGCTGCTGTACATTTCCCTGGTTAGTCTGATTAAATGCTGCCTCTGCTCAGAATCTTGTGAGGCATACTCTCACAAAAGCATGACATACACATAACTCTTAGCAGGCTAGTCAGGCAAACAAGGTTAATGGCTAATCACCAATATTCACCGTACAGGAGACTATATGGTCAATGCCAGTTAGTAGCAACACATCAGTGTGCTAGTACTATGCCTAAGTAATTGCTACTGAATACATGGTAGGGAAAATGTTCCCAGGAAAATGTTGTTAGCAGGCAGTTGTTGCTCTTAGCTAGTGCTGTTGCCAACAAGAAGATACTACTGTTGGCAGCCTTGTTGATTAATATAACAAAAGGTTCCCAAGAGGCTCAAATGTGTCCCAAATCCCTATTAATCTCTTTAAAGATGAACCAGTTTTATATAGCTGGTGAAATTATTTTCAAAGGTTAATATGCATCATTCTGATATTTTTAATCCATTGCTGCATTATAGAGCATATGGATGAGATTAAAAAAAAATGAACAAAATTGTATATTATATGCCCAGTATTCTATGGTAGTTTGGATTATGCAGCTTTCTTTGTCCCCCAATATAAAACTGATTAAGGGGGGGAAATCTTTTCCTACAGGAAATGTACAGGTTTTGATTCTAGGATCTCTGTTGTCAGGGAGATTTTCACTGTCAAAAGGCAGCAGCATTTGGATTCATTCTAGAATTTTAAATCTTTTCTAACTTGAAAAAAATGCCAATTCTATTTTTTTCTGTTTCTTAACCTCACTTGACTGACTTAGTCTATGAGGGGAGCGATCATGCTAAGTTTGTACTGGACACCTCCAGCAGCTAAATGAAAGCTCCAATGGCCTTTCCCAAACTCAATGGAGTAGGTACCCTGCCCTATTTAACTTAACAGCCAAACCAATTCCTCCCAGAATTTAGGCAACAAATATTAAAAATTTACGTTTTTTGAGCAGCCAAGCCTAAAAAGTTCTAGCCCAAAAAACTGAGGAAGTAAAAGTAAAAATACCTTAACAAGCACCACAATAGTCTTCACTGTTGCCAACACCTATTAATACAAGCTATCTATTAGCACTGTGCGAAATTTCACCTGGTGTTTTGTTTTGCAGCTGTTTTGATGCGTTTTGAGGTCAAATCAGCAAAACTGAAACAAAACAAAAGCCTTCAAAACAGCTTCAAAATGAAACAAGGGCCCTCAAAAGTTTCAAAACATTTCAAGTTTCAAAGGCAGGCTTACTTGGCTTTAGCGCTGGTACCAAACAGCAGCTGCGGCCTCCTGTCACTGGGCAGGCAGATTGGGGGTTTGCCCACACCCCCGGGAGGGCTGCAGGGGCTGTGCCGGACTCCTGCCAGGGTGTGGGCTCCCGATCTGCCTACCAGATGCCAGCTGAGGCCAGTGGCAGCACCAATCTTCCCAGCACTAGGTACGGAATAGCCTATGGGTGAAATGTCAAAACAGCGAAACAGTTTTGATGAAATGAAATGGAATAGTGCTTTCTAAATTAAATGAAACTTGAAATGAAACACAGTTTCACTGAAATGTCGAAATGGAAGTCGAAGTGGAATGGTGCTGTTTCACACAGCTGTACTATCTATATGGTGTCATTGATCACTAGCATGTATGTAACTGTACAGTGTCTGGGAGTGTGAGAATTTCTCCTTTTAGTGTAACTGGACAGTCTAGTGTACACCAGAGTCTCAACCTGGTGAGCACAGCAAAACCTGCAAGGTCCAGTGAATTATCAGGCTTTCCACGCAGGCAACTCTCTCTATACAATCCAACCGCCTAACAAAAAAACAAACATCTGAGCATCCCAAGTATGGGCCTGAATCCCCAGGACAGCATCCAGTGACATATTAAGATAAAATCTCCATCTGATAAAAAAGAAATGCTAGTTAGTAAATCAGATTTGCAGCATATAGGAATTATGGGCGCAAGTTGCTAATCAAAGGGCTCTGTTAGCCAAAAGATACACCAGATCCATTTGTGGATGGGCAGTTGAAAGTGGTACAGATTTCAATATATCAATAGTTTTTTCTATATGCCAGAAGCTGTAATGCTTCCTGGGAAATTTTCAATGAAGCATTTTTTGCCTAAATACGCCAATATCAAAACTGAAACTTTTCATGGGAAAATTAAGGTGTATGCATGATTTTAAAATTACACACACACACACACACACACACACACACACACACACACACACACACACACACACACACACACACACACTAATATATATATATACACACACACACACACAAAATAATTGAAATATCCTCTTCCAAGGAGAGAAAAACTTGATGATTTAAAATTATGATTGCCATATGCACTAGCAGTCAAAAGTGTTACAAAGAAAATGTACTGAGTTCTTAAGATAGTGGTCACCTGAGAATGTCTTTGGGTTAAGCACAATAAGTTAATTTCTCATGATCAACTTGTTGAGTGTAAATAGCCGCATTCTTTCTCCAGGGTATCTTGCATAATGGTAGGAATATTATACAAGACTATATTTTATAACTAGGAGGTTGTTGTTATTCTTTTTGCATAGATTTTGCATAGATTAACATATGAAAATGTTGACACTATTTGAACAAACTTTCAGAAAGTTACAGTTATTCTAAGTAAAATCCTGTCTTTTGTAACAAAGGCTCAAAGCTAAACTTAGTGGAAACTGTCAGCCTTTATAAACTAATACATCTCTAGAGAGATTCACAGCCAAACATATATAAAATAAAGTTGTAATCCAACAAAGTTTAGGTGTGCGTTTAGTTTCTTTTCCAGTTTGATTATAAAAAAATAATGTGAGCACTAAAAGGTGTAAATTTGGACAGACTCAATTTTATGAAGATATAGGAATGATTTTTTTACCTAAAATTGAAGTATATTTTTAAGCGTGATTCACCAGATTAGAGCAAACAATAAATATACCAGTTTTGAATATAGTGAGAATATACCTGCTTACACTATTTTCTAGATACAAGATAATTTGTATAGTTATCCTTACTCTACATTCTACTTTCTCCATTATACATATAAATCATAGCAACCTACAAACCTTAAACTTGTCAGTGCTATTGATTGTAATTATATTTGTTCTCCACTGATTGTGTTGCCTTCCAGATTCTTGCCAGATATTTTCATAGGAACCATCACCATGCTTTTGGAGTTCCACCATCAATTTTCCACTTATGTGACCAATCCAATAATAAAATTTAATCTAGAAGAAAGAAAAGGTCTTATTATTCTGGCCAATCATTATGACAAGTAATAAAATAGAAGGAAGGCACATCCCAATACCTGACAAACATGATTGCTATCAGTAGGAAGGAAAACTCTGCTTTTTAAAGTTGCAGGAGATGAACTCACTGTAGATGACAAGGAGAGGAAATAGCCTGAAAAAAAGAATAACTTTTTGTTAATATATTTTTACATATATCTGTAGGAGATACTAGAAATAATGTACAATGCATTAAATCTGCCACAATGGAAGAAACAGATAACAAATTGTATTGAAGGGCTCCTCTTTATGAGGGCTTCAGTATATATTAAATTATACATAAAACTATGAAAAAAAATAGTATTAAGTATGCTAAATTAAGCACTCATAGTCATGAAATGCCTGAATTAAATTACCTGTTCTCTTTTAATTTGGTCTGTTAGTGCTTATACATCATGATCTTTTATCATATGATCACATACAGTTTTATCCATTTGTCTCCTATGTGACTTGATGAGCAGAATGGACATTGTTTAGTCATTTAAAACAGTTTTTTTTCCACCTTCTTACTCAATGAGTGACCCCACTGAATACTGTGAATACTGTGAATACTACTGAATATTATTAGCATTTTATTCAATATATTTAAATCTTGTTTCTGAAGTCAGAATTATTAAGTTTTTCATTGGCTTTTCTACTGCAGTATTCTATTACTTTTCTATTGAAGTAGTATACTGTAGTATCTGAGCAACTCACAGAAATTAACCTATTTTCCTAGTCTCCCTATGGGCACTGTAAAGCTATTATTGTTTTCTCAGCCCAGACTAAAGAATGTCCAGTGAAGACAGAGGTACAAGCATTAGGTTTAGATAAACCTAACCAAGGTTAGGTCAACCTAAATGGTCGGGCATGCAGGTGTTCACAGGGCTTAAAATCACCTTGAAAGGCTAGGAACAGAAATACACATAAACCAGTATAAGTGATTGGAAAGTGGTTCAGATCTGTAACACAACAGAAGTTCAGTGAACAGAAAATGCTTCCAAAATGGCCAAAACCAATTTAAAATAATTGGATGGATGTAGTATCAGACTTAACTGATTTAGGTTAAATTGGTTTACTGAACTTCTGCCCTGAATCCCTTCCAGATTCAAGTTAACTCTCAGTCTTCAGCATCCAAGAATGCTTTGCACCTCCCCCACAATCTCCACAGCCCCCCCCCCCGTTTTGTAGGGTGGGCGGGCTAGCTTTGGCCCAAGTGTTTGCTCCACCCGAACAGGGAGGCACTCTCTAGTGCCCTCAGGCTTCTGATTTGGGCCACTGCAGGCATGTGGCTGCATTTCTGGAATCAAAAGTGAATGACTGCTCACTTGCTTATTGGTTCAATCTATGCAGTTTAGACTAAACTGTGCAGGATTGGATTAATTCAGCTTGAGGCTTTTTGACTGTCTACTTAGCCCATCTGGTATCCCCAATCTAAAGTTAGCTCATGTTAGAAGTGAACTAATTTTAGACTGACCTGGGTTATTAACCTGATCTGGCAAAGGCCTGTATGTATTCACAGCACAGCCTTGGGGCTGGAAAAGTCCAACCACTTATGCCAGCCCTGGGGCTGTGCTGGGTGCTGTACCTACCCACTCTACCCTTACCAGGCTATTTTTAGCCCACTGACTACCTCCCCACTTTCGGACTGGACAATTGCCCCCCTCCTCCCTGTGGATCTACCAGGTCCTTCCCTCCCCAAATTACTTTGGTTGCCTGGGTCACTCCCAGCACTAGAAAATGCCTGCACTTGCCACTCCCAGTTTAAATTTAGGTGGCTAAAAATAAACTGCCTAAACCTAAACTGGGTCCTGTAAGTACTTGTTCACATCCAAAATCTTTTGGAATTTGAGCTGTGAATCTCTAACAGCTCCCTACTGAGCACATGCAAACTTTGATTTTCAAAAACTCATAACTTGTCACAAATTTAGACAGTGACTGTGAAAGATATATCCACTTTAAGAAATATTACTTGCCATTAAATTTCAGGTCTTTCAAAAGTGCACAGGCTATGGAGCTTATGAAAGAAAAGTTTCTAGAATATTTAACATGAGATCAAAAACAAAGAAACAAAAAACCCACCTCCTTCTAGCCTCCTTGCACGTTGATTAAATGCCCTGCCTTAAAATGAAAAAATCCTCAGAAGTAATAGAAAAAATTCAGCTTAAATGGCTATAGTTTAGCAGACTTATGAACTGGAGAGACCTGGGCCTTTAACAGAAAATATCCTGAACCCTTCATAATAGGTAGTGCTATTAGCCTTGCTTTTAATAACAGTGCTTCTGCTAAATGGGAGTTCTAACACTTTGGATAAAGCCATAATTAAGTTTCACAAATCATGTGGGTATCTCTCTCTTTCAAATAAATCTTTTAACTGTGCACCAGTAAAAACTGCTTCCAAACTCAGTCACTAAGATAAGGCACTTTTTTAGAAAATTGTGGGGGAAAAGTTTAAGGTGGTGATTCTCAACCAAAGTGCCACAGCACTCTGTGGTGTCATCAAGATCTTTTTAATGAGTATCACATAATATTAGAACTGTTAGGTGAGCAAACACCCTATATGTGATTCACAAGATAAACCAGAGATTTCAAACTACAATACTTAGTGTCAAAAACTTTCTGACCTGTTGTAGTCTTTCTAAAATTGCCACAGTAGAGTTTGTCTATTTTTCTTAGTGAAAAAAAAAATGAGTGAAAGCTAAGAGCTGGTATTTTCTGAGGAGTAACTTCAGTCTAAAAAAGGTTGAGAACCAATGATTTAAGTCACAAAGGCTATAGATGTTAGGAAAAACACTACATAGTTAAAAGGGCCTGCTGGCTCTTATAATAAGCACCAAGGACATGGGGGTAGGAGGGAGAAGCAAGCTACTTATGAAGTCTCAAAAATCCTGTAATCTCTATTTTCATATTGATAAATATAAAAGAATCAAATGTTAAAATCTATTCTTTCATCACTCTCTTCCATGCTGTTCTTTTCTATAGGTATAGGTAAGAATTCTTTTTTGGTGGAAAAGAAATCTTAATCACAGTTCAAATAATTGTGTACTGATCTTTCGCTGACTTCCAATATTGACCCAGCACTTCTCTTGATGTTCAAATTGATTTTCAAAACAGAGTCCCAAAACACTTCATGTAATAAATGAACTGAAGAGAATGGATTAATATGTGAAAAAATTCTAGAAACTACCAAGATTCACTCCGCAAAATTTAATTAATCAAAAAGTTTGAGCTGTGACAATCAAACAGATTTCACATTACATAAATGAATGATAAAAATTGCCATAACCTGAATAGCTTAGATTTACTGCTACAATTTGAGATCATTAAGGAAATGCTGCTCAGGAGCTGGTTGTGTCTTTTGTTCCAGTGGAAATCATTACTTTAAACAAAAGTTTAATAAAATTGGCCTGCATGTGACTATAAAGACACCGTGGTAACAGCATTTTAGTGACGTACCATCCCAGTGTGTATTCCCAAAGGCATTGTCCTCATCAAAAAGGCAAAATCCCAACAAGTTCAAGTGGAATTTGTTTGTCAGTGTACCTCTTACAAGGCTACAACATTACCTTCCTCTCAAAAGAGGGTCACCTCTACTGGTTAGTACAAAGTAGTGACCTTTCTGTCAAATTATCCTTGACACCCCACCTACTAGAAATATCAAGTGTACCTGGTTAACCTTTCCTTGCTCTCTCTCTCTCTTCCTGGAGATAAGGATTATAGATATGCTAGATGCTGCATAGGGGAACAACAGCTGTGTTCAAATGTTCACTTCTAGTGGTGGAAAATTCCCATCACTAGAAATGATTCTAAGAGAAGGAGCAATACAGACGTCCAGTCTGCAAGTGCCCCCTCTCTCTTGCTTCTTATGCCTTACCCAGACCAGTGTGAGAAGTAGGAAGGAGGATCTCAGCACTTACCTCTCTACTTGGCTCCTGGTGCCTGGGAGCAGAGCAGACTGATCCCCATGGCCCCTACCCACTCAAGACACCTGGGACTCCAGTGTGAGGAGTGGGCAGGGGCTGTGCCCTACTGCCCCAGGGATAACCTTCACAGGCATAGTTCCCAGCCCACCTGGCTTCCCCCCAGCCTCCCCGGTCACTGACCTTGCTCCCGGGACCAATTTATAGCTGGTTGTTGTCAGGTTATTGTTTTCCTGGCGTGGCCATTTTTGCTCCAGGACAAAAGCCTTTCCTCTTTCTTTTTCCCATTCAAAACTAACAAAGTCATTATAGTTACTCAGACATAAGATGACCCGGAATATTAGATGAGCCCCCAATAATTAGATTCGATATATAGAACATTTAAAAATCTGGTAAGATTTTCCAGGTATAGAATCTAAATATTTCAGATGCATCTTGAAATTTTCCCCCTCCCACTGCTGCATCAGGGGAAAAAAGGTCTAGGGGGTCAGGTAGCCCCCTTGCTCTCTGCCCCTTGCAACTTCTTTCTTCCCTTCTTACTATCAGACCCTGTTCCCCCTGAACATGGAAGAGAGGAATAAAATTTGCATATAGGTAAAGTACAACAGGTACCCATAGACTTAATTCAGCCAGAATTGAGACACTGTTCCTTTTTGAAACTGCCACAAGTTTTAGCACAGGTACTCCAAATACATATTTTAAGCAGCATAAACAAACTATTTTTATTTATTTATTATTTCATGTTCCAGGTCAAATTAACCAAACCAGTTCTAAATCCTATACAACCTTTTTATTCCCCCCCGCCCCCTCCCCCCCCCCGGCCTCTTGTCAGGTCAGCTCAAGTCTAAAGAGTATCTGAAGTCCTGGACTAAAGAGTCTGGGATGAAGGATGCTTGCCTGTAGTATCTAGGGGCCTCTGAACCCCAAGACCTCCAGGTTTGGACCTGCATGTAGGATGCCTGATAATGGATTTGGGAGTACAGGTTTCCCTCACTTTATACAGGTTCTGTTGTATGAGTTGGCTCTTATGCGATGACCCTTTTTATACCAAAAAGTAATTATATGCAAGGTAAATTCACTCTTATGCAATCAATCGGTGTGGTGGAAGCCCACAGTCAGCTGCTTTGTGCGGTGCATTGTAGGAGTAATGCACACCAAAATATAGTCTCCTGTGTGGATCTGTGCTCCTCACTCATTGTCTGTGACACGTGTTTCTGTAGCTGCCATCCCCATTATAACAGTGCCCTGTGTTTGTGTGTACTGTTTGCTGTTGGTGAGTACCAAAATTGTCTTGTAAAAGTGGTTGAAATGGGTCTGGGGGTCAGTATAGTCGATGTCTTGGAACTAGGGTGGCCATCATAGTGGACATTCCGGTTTTCTGCTACTCTCTCCTCTATTGAAATAAAACCGGATGCCCTTATGTCCTCTATTTTTCTCTTCAAGAAATATTTGCTGAAGAGAAAAATAGAGGACATAAGGGCATCCGGTTTCATATCAACAGAGGACAGAGGACAACCAAACTGTCCTCTATAATGGTCACCCTATTTGGAACATATCCCTATTTGTTACAT